CGTAGATATCGGCACAGACTCTAGATATCGAACAAACATCAATCAATCTAATAATCTCTCCCAAAGTCTTGTTGCGGCATAAATCCTCTAATTCGCTAAAACAAAGCAAAGTCGCAACAATACAATTGTATTCGTTTCTATAATGACGATAAACGACCTAAAATCGTATCAGTATGGTGAAAATATCCCTTAATAAATCTAAATTTAATTGAAAAGAAATTTATATTTAAATTTAGATTCTTTCAATTAAATGTAATAGGGACAATAATCCAAGCGCTGAATTTACTATTCTTGGCATTTATAATGGCAGAACAAAATAGAACGAGAAAATATAAATTAACGAAATAAAAAAAAAAACAGAACAAAATATAACGAACGAATAAAAAAACAGAACAAAGAATATAAATTAACGAAATAAGAAAATATAACGAAAAAATATAAAAAAATATAAATTAACGAAATAAGTAAATATAACAAAAAATATAAATTAACGAAATAAAAAAAACAGAACAAAATATAACGAACGAAATAAATTAAGAATAAGAAAATGACAAAGAATATAAATTAACGACATAAGAAATGTAACGAACAAATATAAATTAACGAAGTAAGAAAACAGAACGAAATATAAACATATAAATAAGAAAATATAACGAAAAAATATAATTGGCATATATAAATTTTGTTCGAAGTGTATCGTTATATCGAAGTTTGACTGTAAGCATCATTTTGATTCGGAAAATCGAAAAATCGGCTTATGTAAAACGCCTCTTTATGAATAAATTGTGCTGTGTTTTTCTTTAATTGGAAATTTTCACATCTTCTTTCTTCAGCGATATTAAATTCCTCACTAATTTCAGTTTGTGCTGGATTATCGCATATATCAGTTATCCAATTGCTAAATGTTTCATTCAATTCGATTGCTGTTGGTCTTTGTTTTGGATCAAATGCCCAACATCTTTTCATTAAATCAGAAAAACATTTTGGAGTATTTTCAATTTCCTTTGGTCTGACTCCATTACAAATATCCATAGCTAATGCCGCGTCATGCGCTCTCTCAGTAAATGGTTTTTGTCCAGATGCAAGCGACCACATAAAAATGCCGAAACTATAAATATCAGCCTCTTTTGATTGATTCTCTCCAAGAAGAATTTCTGGTGCAATATAAGGAATAACACCATATAATTTATTATTATTATATGGGATATCTACTGATCCATGAATTCCTATATCAGCTATTCTTCCATCGGTCGAGATTGATTCATCTTCGATCATTATATTTCCACCGTGTAAATTTCCATGATAGAGATTATATCGATGAATATTTTCCAGACCCGCAGTAACCCCCCATAATAAATCGATTTTATCTTTCCAGCTAATATCTTTGACATTTTCAATGTATTGATTTAAATCACCATTTTTATAGAATTTCATTACAATTATAAAAAATCCGTCTGGAGCTTTTGAAATACCAAAAGTATCAGCTACACTGCCTGATTGAAGACAATGATGATATTTTCGTAACTAATATAAAAATGAAACATTTTGTTAATAATTCTTGAATTTTTTTTTATCAAATGAGAAATAAAATTTACGTTTTCCAAGAATTGTTTGCTCAAATTTTGAGAATTTTTAAGTTTCTTCAGCGCTACTTTTATTGGTCCACCCCGTGACCAAGCTTGCGTGTTTTCGTTCCAATCCCACTTAGGTCCCTCTAACCAAATAGCAGAATAAATTTCACTAAATGTTCCAGCTTTGTGGAGTTCAACCAGTTCAAATTGATTATAAGGAATATATTCGAGATAATCGCCGCTTATACTTGCTTCTGCTTGACTTTTTTGTATAATTAAATCAAGTTGCAAATTGCCAGTTGTCCATTTTGAATAATTTTCCTTAAACCAAGTAGTCTCACAAGATTGACACCACGCAAAATTTGTTCTGAATTTGCCACAATCAAAACATTTTTTATGAATAATTCGTGTTTCGGTATGAAATTCATCCAATTCGTCGCTGCTTGCGTTAGTAGAATCTTCGATGTCTTCGTCGGTTAAATGTCTAGTTTCTAGAATTCTTGATTTTATTAAGAAAAAAAGTTAATTAATTGGTACATTATGGCAGTGTTGTCAAATCCAGCATTTTGATTTGTCGGGAAAAACATCACAACCAATCAAATTGCTGGATTTGCGTCCAAGCGACAACATTGCATTACGGCACATTCGCATAATAAATTTACTATGAACTCATCTTAGTCTCATTACTGTATATGGACTATACTTGCAAGTTGATATGCATTATTATGGGATTCATAGTTTCAGTTGCTGGTTACAATATAAATTGCAGTTCATGGGGTTGCCATTTTTGTAACCTTTCTGAATTTTTTGCAGCCAGCAGTTTTAATTATAGTGCACACCATAATTAATGAGAATTTTGATTTTTATATAGTCACATTTTACATAGTCACATCTTTACGATCACACTTTTTTTCCAGTTTCAACTAATCTCCATCCGGTTCTGAGAGTGTTGGAGTATGATTATTATATGAAAAACAAATTCGTAAAAACTTAAATCTTTTAGATTGGAAGTTTTTATTATATAAAGTTTTTATAAAATTTGCTATACCGTCAAACCTCAATATAATGAACCTTTTGGGCTGGAAGTTTTTGTTATATATAAGTTCATTTTATCAAGGTTTGACTGTATGTTTTTAGACAAAAAGTGAGCTATTATAATAACTTTTAATAAAATGAAAATTCTCATTATTTTTGCGTGCATTATATTGTTACTGGGCGGTGTGTCTAAAAGAAAAAACGATTTACCTGTATTCTTTTGTTAAATTCCTTTTTGATCGTAAAGTTCTATGATTATGTTTTATTATAATCGCACATTTTTTTTTGGAGAACATAGATGCTATTTATATGTTTTAAACATCACTGCGATAATGAAAATTTCATATATAGTAGTAGTGTTGTCATTTGAACAGGACAATTTATAATTATGTCCAAGGATACATAAATATAGCAGAGGACCAAACGGACATACCTTCAAAATAATCTATCTGCAGAAAAATTTCTCAATATGCGCATGATATAATATCAATGCCTCATATTATTGAATTTAAGGTTAAAGTATGAATTTTTTATCTGCGCAACCCGCAAATTACTTTAAAAAATTATCTGCGCAATCAGTCTCCAATCTGTGGTGCGCAGACTGCGCAGGTCAATTTTAAACGCTGATGTTAGCGCCAGCACATGTGCGTAGTTAATTATTGGTCGATCTCGCTGTTTTGGTGATTTTCCGACCATACTTCTTGGCTCGATCATACAAGCGTATCGGTATGACCCAAACGTAGTCTGTACCATACATGTGATTTTCCGACCATACTGCTTGGCTCGATCATGCGTATCAGTATGACCCAAACGTAGTCATCAAATCGTACGTACGTAACGGTAATTGGTAGATTTTATAAAGCATATGCTACAGTTTTAAATAATATAATTCAGCTTACTAAATTAATTACATGTATTTCACATGCAAGATTTATTTAAAATTTGCTGTCTTTTGTTCTTTTCGAATGCAATTTACAAACACAAATAGAATTAAAATTAAATAAATTTTCTACCACTTCGTATATCCACCCTGAGCTTTTATCACATATGAATTTGTTCTTGCATAGAACGAATCAAATTAGTACAATAATCAACATCAACTTCTTCCCAAACCTGTTGTATCTTTTCCCATTACCCGAAATTGGCACAGAAGACTCCGAAGCGACGATCGATCTCATTCCACAAGTGTTCAATTGGATTAAGATCTGGTGATTGGGGCGGCGGCCAATCTACCACCATTATCGACGAACCACTTTTTCGTATCATTGGCCATATGTTTGGAATAGTTAGCCCGTTGAAAGATAACGTCATTGATAGCGAAACAATGTTACTCATAAGGTCTTCTGTAAGAATTAATCGGTATAACTTACCATTCATTGTCCCATTAATTTTGCAAACTTTTCAATGGTTCATCCGGGCTTTCCAATAATACTCGCACTCAAAAACCTTGAACTTTGATTTATCGGACCATATTACCTTTGACTAATCTTCAAAGGTCCAATTTTCGTATTTTTTTTTTTAGCGAATTCAAGTCGATGTTTCATGTGTTCTAGCTTTAGGTATGGCTTTTTTCTTTTAATCCTTGTTACCAAACCATTATTTCGTAGTGTACGACGAATAGTATGCTCCAAGATTTTAACATTTTCAGCTTCGAGTAAACGTTTTTGAACTTGAACGGCGGTGGAACAATCATGAGAAGTAATGAGCAGAACAACTTGTCTTTCTTGTCGCTTATTTAATATACGTGGATGACCGGCTTTGGAGAGTATTTTTTTCACGCCATCTTTTGTATATACAAGAAACCGTGGAAGGACCAATATCTCGCGCTCTTGCTATCTCTCTTGTAGTATATCCATTATTGTGTGAAATAATATTTTCGGCTCGTTCGTTGTGATTTTGCGGCTTGATTTGTTTATTAATTAGTATTGATTAAATCGATTTTAAAAAATATAAATGATACACTCTTTATTATTTATATTTATTAACTTATTTTAAATTTTATTATGAAGTTTTTGATTCTAATCGGGAATTTGGCAAAAGTTCGCAAGAATCAAATCTCGCTATATAAGGGGATCGTTATATCCAGGTTTGACTTTATTTGAGAATTGTTATTGGATATAAATAAAATAATAAGTATTGTAATAAGATAATAAGCTCTTTTTTATCTAATCACTGAATTTATAACTGTACGTAATATTTAATGTACGAATCAAAATTTACGAAAAATCAAATACTATATTTGCAGAAATTTAAACCAATTACGGCCCGCAAGCTAAGATTCAAAAATCCCGCAGATCTTTTTTAATGGTGGTGCCGTCCCTTTGTAAGTACCTCGAACACTGTCATTTTTGGGCGAATTTTGATATAATACCCGAAACGCTCTACGGTAATGTGCATTAATTAGTTACATATGCATACAGCACTTTAATGTGCGGTATCGGTATGATTTTGCTACGTAAATCTCCAGCAATGGTCTGCACTGATTGCTAACACGACAAATTATCGCAGGTTTTACTTTTTTCATAGTAGGTTTCACCCTGATTATTTGAAACTACATATAATTGACAAAAGTTATTATAAAACATATTGTTAATATGAAAATTTATTATTATAAACAGTATATGGTGCATACCATCTAAACTCATCAAACGTTTGTATTTTATAAAGTAAATACGAAATTTAATCTTTACTTCTTAGTTGATTAATAATAATCCTAAATCGTACCACTATTTACAATTAATACGAAAGGAGAACAAAGACTGAAAAATTACACAAGATAATAGAAAGGAAAGTACAAGAGAAAATTAATATGAATATTAGTGGTTAAAGATAAGAAAAATCATAAGGTCACAGTAAAAAGAAAGATTCTAAAGAATTAAATAACATGAGGAAATACAATATTAAAAATAGTAATGAAAATAATAAAAATATGAGAAATAAAATTAAATGAATATGATTGGATAAATATAATAAATTTGAATTAAGAATGTTCTTGTTGGGGATAAGATATACCAATAGCAAAAAGATTAATTTGAGAGTGAAAAATACAAAAGAAAATAAAGGGTGGAAATAAAGATGAAAATAAAATGTAATCCGTTAATGATTATTTTAAAAAGGAAATGATATTTACGAATTTTATACTAAATTTGGTCGTGTAATGGAATACAAGATGAAATTAAAAGCTCAAATTAATATGAAAATTATTGGACAAAATTATGATACACCATAAGTAATAACATAAAAATTATGGAATTACGAAATTTTTGTTGAAAATGGTAACAGTATGTTGATTTGATGTAATATATACGTACGTAATAACGATCGATATCAAATATCTCCAATACATGTGCCATGTGTCATACAGTAGGCTGTGATGAATATGTATTTTCTAAAATTAGTCATTGTGTGTTTTATAACTATTCTACATATAACGATAAGTGCTTATAAAATAAACTTGAGATTCATAAAGAAGAAATTGTCGGGAGGTTAAAAAGAAAGCAGAATTCAGAACAGTACTAAAAATGAACGCGAGAACAGAAAAAACGAAATATATGACGAAGAACGTAAATTGACGAAAAACGAATAAAAATTAAACAGACTTTTACATGAATAATAAACATAAAAAATAACGAATCAAAAAATAGTTTTAATTATCTTTATCGTTATTAAATTTTTCTCTAAGCTCTGAAAAATCAAAAAATCTGCTTGTGTAAAATGCATCTTTATTTTGAATTTCTTGTGAGGTGTTTTTCTGTATTTGAAAACTTTCACAGCTTCTTTCTTCAGCAATATTAAAACTCCACATTGATCCCAGTTGGTGCTGGATTGTCACATATATCGGTTATCCAATTGCTAAATATTTCATTCAACTCAATTGTTGTTGGTCTTTGTTTTGGATCAAATGCCCAACATCTTTTCATTAAATCAGAAAAACATTTTGGAGTATTTTCAATTTCCTTTGGTCTGACTCCATTACAAATATCCATAGCTAATGCCGCGTCATGCGCTCTCTCAGTAAATGGTTTTTGTCCAGATGCAAGCGACCACATAAAAATGCCGAAACTATAAATATCAGCCTCTTTTGATTGATTCTCTCCAAGAAGAATTTCTGGTGCAATATAAGGAATAACACCATACAATTTATTATTATCATATGGGATATCAACTGATCCATGAATTCCTATATCAGCTATTCTTCCATCAGTCGAGATTGATTCATCTTCGATCATTATATTTCCACCGTGTAAATTTCCATGATAGAGATTAGAACGATGAATGTTTTCCAAACCAGCACTAATCCCCCATAATAAATCGATTTTATCTTTCCAGCTGATATCTTTAACATTTTTAATGTATTGATTTAAATCGCCATTTTCATAGAATCTCATTACAAATACAAAGATCCATTTGGATCTTTTGAAATACCAAAGGTGTCAGCTACACTGCCTGATTGAAGACAATGATGATATTTTCGTAACTAATATAAAAAGGAACCATTTTATTAATAATTCTTGAAATTTGTTTTTATCAAATAAGAAATAAAATTTACATTTTCCAAGAATTGTTTGCTCAAATTTTGAGAATTTTTAAGTTTCTTCAGCGCGACCTTTATTGGTCCACCCCGTGACCAAGCTTGAGTGTTTTCGTTCCAATCCCACTTAGGTCCCTCCAACCAAATAGCAGAATAGATTTCACTAAATGCGCCAGCTTTATGAAATTCAACCAGTTCAAATTGATCATAATGAATATATTCAAGATAATCACCGCTTATATTCGCCTCAGCTTGGCTTTTCTGTATAATTAAATCAAGTTGCAAATTGCCAGTTGTCCATTTTGAATAATTTTCCTTAAACCTAGTAGTTTCACAAGATTGGCACCACGCAAAATTTGTCCTGAATTTTCCACAATCAAAACATTTTTTATGAATAATTCGTGTTTCGGTATGAAATTCATCGCTGCTTGCTTCGTCAGTAGAATCCTCGATGTCTTCGTCGGTCAAATGTCTAGTTTCTAGCATTCTTGATTTTATTAAGAAAAATTAATCAATTGGTACTATATTTGCATTATTAGTCAATGAAAACGGGGGTTCATAGTTTCAGTTGCCGGTTACAATATAAATTGCAGTTAATGGGGTTGCAATTTTGTAACCTCTCTGAATTTTTTGCAGCCAGCAGCTTTAATTATAGTGCACACTATAATTAATGAGAATTTTGGCTTTTTCTATATAGTCACATTTTACATGGTAACATCTTTACAATCACACTTTTTCCAGTTTCTGAATGTAATTGTTGGAGTCTGATTACTCTAAGAAATCTATTTTACTTGATAAATTGCTTAACAAATTCGCAAAAAACTTAAATCTTTTAGATTGGAAGTTTTTATTATATAAGATTTTTATAAAACTTTGCTATACAGTCAAACCTCAATATAATGAACCTCTTGTGCTGGAAGTTTTTTGCTATATTTAAGTTCATTCTACCAAGGTTTGACTGTATGATTTTAGACAAAATGTGAGCTATTATAATAACATGAAATTTGTTTCTTTAAGATATTTTAATAAAATGAAAATTCTCATTATTATGGCGTGCAGTATATTATTACTTAAAAGTATATCTAAAAGAAAAACGATTTACCTGTATTCTTTTGTTAATTCCTTTTTTAATCGTACACCATATAATTGAGTTTATTATAAACGCACATTTTTTTGGGAGAAAATAGATGCTATTTATACGGTTTAAACATCACTGTGATTATCGTTATAATGAAAATATCACGATCACGTATAAAAAACGAGAACACGATTTTTAGATGTGGGGACTAAACAACATTTCCTCTTTTGATTTCCACGCGTTATAATTACGTACAAAGTTACGAAATTTTTATTTATTATCTTTACGAAGAAATCAATTGTATTTTTACCTGCATCTTATGTTTCGTTAAATATTCAAGTTAATAGTAATATGTTTAAATTTAACTTCAAAATATTTAGTCATAAAGGTTATACATCTAATTAATTAATCATGGGTATTTACATATCATATAAACCCGATTTCAATTAAAAAATGCAAATAAAGTACATCTTGAAAAATCCTGAAACCTCCACTAATAATGAAAACCAACAACGAACTGACTTAATTTCAATTATCTGAAAAAGAAGTATTATCGTATATCGATATACATGTACATGTATGGTGCAGGCACTCTTAAATCGACAATGTGTTTCATGTTAAAATTCTATCAACTTCTTACCTAAGGAGTAAATCTAAAATTTAACCGGTAATATTCTAGAAAAGGACTTTCTTACCGGTCAAATTTTGAATTTACTTCTTAGTTAAGAAGTTAATAGAATTTTAACATGAAACATATTGTCGATTTAAACATAAAAATTAGGATCGACATTTTTCACAAAAAATCTTGGATCATCGCACACTCCAATGGGACACGTGGTTAAACACATTACGTATATAGGTCCAGTGTTGTCGCTTGGACGTAAATCCAGCAATTTGATTGGTTGGGACAAGTGTCCTGACCAATCAAATTGCTGGATTTACGTCCAAGCGACAACACTGTATAGGTCACATGGTTACGCAATATAATGAAGATGTCGCGCCAAAAATAAATAACGATAACAATTTTTATTAAGAAATACTATAATAGTTACTTATTTTTATATTAATACAGCATCTTAACCAAATTCCAATTCAGAACAATTTGACATATGAAGTTGACAACACTGCTTTAAAGTACAGTAAAATCCTCTATAGTCACCACCCTCGAGGAAAGCAAAATTTGGTGACTATAGAGGAGGTTTTTTTACTATGTTTATATAAATGAGAAAGCAAGATAGGGTGACTATAGAGGGATGTGACTATAAATGGGAGTGACTATAGAGGAGTTGGACTGTAGTTTTTTCTTGGTGCTCTTTAGGCTGTCATATAGTTGAAAGCATGCTGTCATGTGGTCGAAAGCGTGCGTTCTTTAGAAAGATTAGAACTACATGTGTACATCAAATTGTTAATTATACGCATAAAAATCAGTTGAAATTAAACATGTGCATGTTGAAAAGAGACAATTTGAGATGATAATTTGAAAATAAAATTTGTTGGATTAAAGCATAATTAAGTGTGTTGTTGCTGAGATTAAAATTCATTGACATTTTTATAATAGAAATTTACATCGTGATCTTGTTGTTGTATCTTTCTCTTATAAACACAATGCATTGCTCAACGAACATCTGAAGAATTTACAGATACTGATTGGAAAAGCAAATATTACCTAATAACCGATGTAACTATACCATGTATTATAAGTAAATTTTTTTATTATGTTAAGCAAACTCATAATTTTGATAAACCAACCCAACCTTATACAGTTATGAAGGAATAACTGTCTACTCAATTAACTATAGACATAAATAATAATGATTCTTATAACAACAGAAAATAATACTAGGAAAATTTTATACCATCACCATTACGTGCACTTCAGATATAGATTTCTTTTACTTTTTATTATTATCAAACCAAAATCGGAGTTGAAAGGGATCAATTATTTTTTTTATTTACTTTTAAAGACAATGGGTAAGAATAGCAGCTGACTTACATGTGTCTGATAAATAATTGCGGAAGCTTCGAATGTAATTTTATTAACATTAAGTAATCCCTATTTTGTAATAACAAAACACGTGTGATTTATCAATTAAAATAGACCATAAAAGGAAATACATGTACATGTATGTATGTAGCGTGTTTTGTGAATCGATCCAATACATATCGGTAGGGGGATAATGTCTGTATTACGTACATGTACATGGTGAAACAACTACATGTACCGGAACATGTATTTAAATCGAAGGACATACAAGCCAATCAAATTTAATTTAAGATTACGTACACGCGACCAATCAGATATACGTAACAACACACTACGTATACACGAACCGCAATGCTTACTTAAACATTTGACAACTCGATATCACTGACTATCAATCACGCTATATTCAAGGGAGAACACCAATGTAAAAATGAGACCATTTTGCCCGTTTTTATTATTTTAGGCTGGCGGAAACATATGAGCCTAGTCAGTCATGCACATGTCATGTATTTTTTAATCCGAAGTACATGTAACGTACATGTGTTTATTTTACATGTATCACCATTTCAAAGCTTCTAAGTAAAATACAGACTATTTTATAAAGTGAACTTAAAGTTGGAATCTGAATGGTCTAGCGAAAAATAAAGATATCGACAATCTAATAAAAAGAATGCAGGGAAATTAATACATCTTTTGAATGGATCCCTTTTGAAAATTTTATCGAAGTCGAATACCTTGCAAAAGGAGGTTTTGGGACAATTTATAAAGCAAAATTGCAATATTACAATGCGCTTTATGGAGGAAATAAATTCATGCTATACGATTTGTTGTTTTGAAATCGTTACACAAATTCAAACCAAGTTATAGAGTTTATAAATGAGGTAAAAATAAACTATTCTAAATTGTAATCAAGTTGCTTCTAATATAATCATGTTATCTATAACTGCTCTAAAGTGTCATTATGGTCTTTATCATCATGGAATAACTAAAAATCCAGCTACAAATGAATAATCTATAGTAATTACGTATGCAAAAGATGGAGATATTCGCAAATATATCAAATATATTAATGCCAAATACGAAAAATTGACTTGGAAAGAAAAATTAAGACATTTAGTTGATATTATTGGAGGGTTAATGAAAATCATAATGCTCAAATTGCTGATTTTGGACTTGCCAGCCCGGCTAATTTAAATAAATCTAAACAAGAAATTTTCGGAGTTCTTCCTTATATGAGTTCAGACGTGTTAAATGGAAAGCCATACACACAAGCTGCAGATATTTATAGGTTTGGCATGATTATGTATGAGCCTGTAACAGGCGAACGGCCATTTGGTGAGCGGAGTCATAATATATATCTTATATACGACATCTATAAAGGGATACGACCTAAGATACCAAATAATATTCCCGGTTGGTGCAAATTTATTATTGAAAAATGCTGGGATCCAAACAGACCTATCGCTTTAGAACTTAGCAATTTATCAAATCTATCTACGATATCAATACAATTTAAAGTGGAACCAAATACTTTATGTTTTCAGTACTACAGCTCTTTAAAATATTCTAAAACAGATGAAGAAATTAAAGAATGTCTTAAACTAGAAAGACAGAAATACAATGAAGAGTATATGCAAAAAAGCATGCTTATAAATATAAACATAAAACAACAAATACACCCAAATGCAGTTTACACCAGCCGAATCTTTACTACGAAACTAATTTCAATTCCAAATTATAAAGATGCTTTTTATTTCTAAATACAAAACATATTCACATTTCACATCAATTAAAAATATATCGAATATTTAGGCTCTACAAGTGTCAGTTTGTATGTTCAAAACGAAGGTAAATTTACATTAATCTTATTTTTTTATTGATTACAAGTTTACAAATTAAAAATTCTTGTTTGAATACAACTTTAGCATATCGATATGTAACTACTGCATATGATATAGGTATAAAAGTCGAATCTTCAAATGGCAGTTTGTGTGTTCCAAACAAAACAAATGAAGGTAAACTTTATACGTACAATACGTAATGATTTACTATATGTTTTAAAATATCAGCATATGTCTCACAAGCATTTGAGATTTATGGAAAAGACGCCGAAAGAAAAAACACAACGTAAGTTTTTTTCGTTAATAGCAACAGAGTCTCTACATCTTAAAACACAGTATTCTATTAATAAAACTAAAGCATAAAACGAACAATAAACGTCCTATTGAATACATGTCGGAAGAATCAAACAAAAGGGGAAAGATTTCATTTTTATTGAATTAAGACAATGAAGATAGCGGTAACAATTAAGATGAAAAGAATGATAAAAAGTAAATTTTTATTTTTTATTTCATAGTTTAGTAATGATTCCAATAATTTTTTTTATAAACATTTAACAACTTTTCTTAGCAAAAATTGATATCG